GGTTTAATAGAAAATTGATTTTGGAGGGAAAGAATAAAAGAAATCTGAAATCCCTAACTTTCGCCGGCGAAATGCCTAGACGACGCCTCCAGCTCCGATACTCTTCCGACGAAGAAGAAGATGAAATTAGTGTTGCTCCTTCTGTGCAACCGGAACCCTCAGTAGCGTCGAGTTTTAACCCTAATCCGGGAGAGGGAATCTCTGTATCGGAAGTTGAGATTATCGACGTATCTGGTAATCCGACTCCTACACCGCCGGATTCTAGTATTCCTACACCGTATCCGGTTGATCCGTCTGGGTCGGAGTCGGAGGGTGTGAATAACTATGCTTCGCCGATCGGTATGATTCTTTTTCGAAAAGGGTTTAAACTGAAGACGGATTGGTGGGTCTCTTGTCTTGCTAGACTTGAAAGTTCCGTTCCACAATTCTCCGGCCTCAATGTGGAAGCAAAAGCTAAGCATTGTTTCGAGAAGTTCCTGTTTTCCGACATGAATTTATGCGGAGGTGGGGTTCTTCCTCGGAATGTTGCGTCTATGAATCTTGAAGAACTCGCTGGTCCGTTTGTTCTGCAGGTTATCTGCTTGTTTGTTCCTTTTTTCGTTTGTTCAGTATATAATGCACGAAATGTGATTTCGACTGAACCTTTTTCTTCTACTTCAGGTTGATGAGATTGTTAACATTGGCTCACCGCTCAAAGGGCGGTATGAAAACGCTAATGCAGGGCTTAAGAGGTGTCTTAAGCTGTCAATGACCGATGGTGTTCAACGCGTTTTCGGTATGGAATACAGACCTATTAAAGATCTTCAAGTTTTGGCTCCTGCTGGTTTAAAGGTGTGTTTATTGCTGATGATTGTAGTGGTGAAATGGTAGATTGCCTTTTGGGATGAAAAAAATTAGCATCTAAGGTCACTCACTGTAGAGACTTTAGGATTATTCATTACTTTTATGTGTTTGCTATACCACCTCAATCTGTTCCAGGTGGATACATGTCTGTGTTCTTAGTCTAAGCACTGACAAGTACAGTTAAATGCAGATTGTTGTATCTAGTGTACAAGTTCGACATGGGATTTTAATGCTAGTACCTGAGATTGTAGAAGTCTTAGGAGGGATGGTTGAAGAATTGGAAGAAGCACGAAAGCGTCTGGTTGTTGAAGTGAATAAGCCTCCAAGAGGGAAAAGGTGTATCCAGTTATTTCTCCTGCCCACTTCATCTGGAAAAGTTGTGTCATGGTGTTTCTTCAGTTGGAACTATTATTTGCGCCAAGTGTTTCCCCAATTTTGTTGGCTTCGGCTTCTTTAATCTTGAGAAGAGTAACTGGAATGGAAAATGTCTTATGATGCACTCAGTTTGGTGAATTTAGCATTTGCAAAACTCTGCCTAGTGGGAAATATTTGGATTGGATTCTTTGGGAAAGATGATGCATGATTTTACCTTGACGCATTTTATACACCCTGCCTATCATCTACTATGTGCTTACCCTAATTACAGCTGTAAATTTTACCCTTCTTGAAGCTCTTACTGGATTTTAACTTTTGCAGAACAAGGAATGGAGTGGTTCCTTCATTGGCAACCAGAGCAACTCTAGCTGCGTGGTCACCGGATGACAATGCTACTGGTAATCGTGCAAACAGTTCTACCTCGGAAAATGCTAGTCACGCTCAGACTAATGGTCAAGGTAGGGATGTTTCTACATTAATCTTATCGCTCAGACACAACTGCATGTCTCTGATCAACAAGAAAACTAGCTGCATCTTTCAACTTTTCATTCCTTCATGCATAATAAAGTTCGCAAAAATACCCAAATGGTCAGTGAATGTCAACCCTATACCGAAGTTATCACTTGTTCATCACTGGAAAGTGGATAAGTGACAATTTTGAATCAAAGGACACAGACTTCTCCTTTTCTTGTATTTATGGTCAGCATACTAGAGCAGAATCATGGTTGTTTATGTGTTTCCTACGATGTTTCCTCACTTAACCATAGCAGAGTCATAACATTAATAACTATCTTGGATAATTTTCTGAGGAAACTTTAGTAACATCAACATGAAACAACCACTTTCTTTTGTGATTATCAGTAGCTATTAACTCTCTTTTAACCAAAAAACTTATGGCAGGCATTCCATCGAATGTAAGAAGAACTCATATGAATCCGCAGACGATGAATGGGCCTCCTCCTTCCATCAATGTGGAAGCTACTGTTTCAAGGGTTGAGCATATGCAGATTGATACTGCCTTTCCGCACAGGGAAAGAGTGGTTTCTGATTTACACTCGACTTCTAATAACATTCACATGACAGCATCCACAGCCTGTTCTAGCGGCAGTGGTACAAGACCTTTTTACAACAATGGCAGTGAAAATACCTTCGATCAACAAACATCTAACGTGACTTCATTTGTTGAAGAAATGCATATTGACAATGGTCGTGTTAGGGAAACGACGTCTCCTGTATTTGGTTCAGGTTTAGGCTCTCTTGCAGATGAAGAAGTCAGTAATAGAGCTGTCGATTTGGAAATCCCTTCTGTGCTGTCTACCAATGCAGAGAGGCCTTTTACTTACTTAGCCGATTTGTCTCAAAAGTGGGCAGTAATGAAAGATACCATGCATTCTGTGCAAGGAAGGATCAAGGTATTAACACCACTTATTAAAAAAACACTCTCAGTCTTCAATTGAGTCGGGTTCCAACCCTTGTAACTAAAAGTATCGATTTTTGCAGTGCTTTCTAACCGGAGTGAAGAAATTCCAGTTCAAGCAACAGTCTACATTTGAGCTTGTATGCTATGTTGACGATGGTAGTCTCATCTGTGAGATCTTGCTCCATAACGACGTAAGTCTCATCTCGCATTTCTCAAACAAAATAAATCAGTGTTAGAATGAAATATTATCCATCATGTCCATGGTATTCTCCCCTGCAGGTTGTACAACAAACGATAGGTCACTCATCAATGGAGGTCTCAGCTGCTCTTTCCTCTTCAGCATCAACAACAATAAACACCATGATGAAGGAGAAACTAAAACGCTTACAATTGTTTCTAGCTGACTTCGAGGTAAACCGCTAACTTTTTTTCAGTTTTTAGACTTTCTTGTTCTCAGTGGTTATAGTTACAACTTACAAGTCATCGACAATCAGATGCATCAGACATGAGCTGCTTTTAGACATAAGTTGAGTATAGAAACATATGCTTAGGACTGAATGTGAAGGACAAGTTTTTTTCCAATTGCAGGGAATAATGGTGGTAGAAATTAGCAGATCATCGCAGTATCCAGTAGCTATCGAAATGACTCAGGGATGTTCATTAACCGATGCTCGGTTACTATTTGAAAGGATCAAATCTTCTGCAACAACATCCTCGCACTTAGATCCAGTTGTTGTTATTTCCCCTTGATCAAATAGTCACTTTATAAAGCTTGTGAAGCAGTGAGGGCTTTTTAATGACTTGACTTCATCTATATCTGCTTAGGTACTACTCTCTGGTTCAACTCAACGGGGTAATTTTATTTTTGGTAACTTATTTAACCGGGTATTATGTAACTCGAATTCTGTTTTTTTTTTTTTTAAGATAGTTTTCTTTGAAAATTAACAAGTAGATTAGGTGTCTAATTTTTTTAAAAATGAAACTTATATGTTTTTCTAGAGAATATTAATAAAGGTTTGTATATGGCTGATTGTTATGAGTCCTATTATCGTTTGTTGATCTTGATACCATGAGAATCCTTGAAAATGTTGCTATTATCTTAATTAGCAAAACTCTTGTTCTTGAATCCTTGAAAAGGTTGAAATTGAGAAAGCTTTGCTAATAAAGGTTTATATTAGTTCTTGAACGTACAAGGCCTTTTCCCAAATGACAATTGTAAAATATTTTTCTTTTGGTCGACAGATTTCCGGTTTTATTCATCTTTTTCTATTAAATATATGAGTCGTATTTAACGAGTGTCCATTAAGAGAAGAAAAAAAACAAGAATGGGGATTTGATAAGTTTTATCTTTTCTTCTTTCTAGATCGTCTGAATTTTAAGTAACACAACAGTGTAATGTTTTTTCGGTAGCTTCCTTTTAATATACATCAAAGTACTTTACTAGTTTTTCCCTGTTTTTGATAAACATCTGTTTAAGACTTTAGCTAAAACCCTCTAAATGATTCGGTTTTAGCTTATATTGGTCAATAGAAACAGAACAAATCTCTGATCAATTAGTTAGGCACCAAATCTTTTCAAAACGTCCGATTACGAATCTTTGAAGATTGGGTATTATTTTTTTCCAAAGTCAAGTTACATCGGTATAAAGCGAATGAAATAAGGACCATTAGACCCCATTAGACCTCAAAGAAGCGATTTGAAATGACTCGAAATATAATAATAACGAAATTAGCCCTCTAGGTGTAATGCTACATCTTAGCACCTAATGATAGGTCATCTTGAGCCATCCATCCCCACAGTCTCTCTACTTCTTTGCTTTCACCACCACTAAATGATGGGATTTAAAGACCGACCTCATTTTCCTTATTTGTAATAAAAGATAACTTTCTTTATATTAAAGTATTTTATTCATGATTGTTATATAGATTTGGCTCATGTCTAAATCTCAACGAAATTCTTGATCAAAAATCAAAAGCATGTTATCATTTTCGACAGATAAATTTATATGTTTTGTTTTCTTATGTCACAGACCTACATTTTTCTTCTTTTATTGTTCCTGGTGTTTATTAGTATTCACATATCGAACTCGTTAACTGAGTGGACTTTTAACAAAACAGTTGTAGTACTACTAGTAACATCATCTTCTATTTTTATGGGCCTACATTCTTTTGTGTGTGTTTTTGGTTTTCAATTATTATTTTTGTCTGTATCTACGTTTGCATGTTACAGGAATGCGGTGATCGTTAAATCAAACCATAAATTTTAATTAATCAAAGTTTATCAAGGTATCTTGAAAATCGAGACGTTTAAACTCCAAGGTCTAAAGGTTGGTTAGAACTTAATCTAAGTTGCTGTATATAATGATTACAGGAATATATATCATCGATCTATTGGTTGAAAGTTGAAACCCTATATTCTATAAAAAAAAAATTAGATTTTGGATTAGAATCTTCGGGAATAAATAGTTTTTTTCTGTCATAATATAGATAAGAAATGCAATGGTCCAAATGAAATAGGATAATTGAAGAAAGAGCTAGTGAATATAAATTCGAATCTATTATATAATCATGGAGTTTTCTTTTCATCTAGAGTGTCCACATAAACAAAACTATTTTTTAAAACATTTCAGTGTTAAAATGTTCATTTAATACACACTAAATCATATTTATATGTTTTTT